AAAATGTAATTTCGTCGATTTGTGTAATTTATGAAAATCATATGACAAAATTTTAGATGTGACAAATCGGGTGTCTGGTATATAAAATTCAGAATATACAGGTACAGTACTTCAGTTTAATTTGTGCATACATCATCAATTCTGTCAAACCATTGGCCTGAATTTGTTTATTTGTTTGATACCCATGACTTGTACAGAGTTCTGCCCAGATTGGGTCATTAAGAAAATAGACCGGAATAGTTTTATTGATTCGACCGGGCCAGTTCAGTTATAAAAAGTAATAGCGTAAGAAGGTTTCATCATTATATTTAATTGTTCCTTAGAAAAGCTAGCTCACTTCTATATATATAGGCTGAGGACCGGATCAGTGTATCGATAAACAATATTGAAATTGTATCATTTAGACTAGACTGGTCCATATTTACACATCCACATACATATGTATGTACGTACGTACAAGGATAAAGCATAACACAGTTACACGACACTAATTCCATAATTAAACATTATATCATGAACAAGCGTCACTCTTTTTTTTCTTAACCGAAATGACTTTGAGTGAAATTGCCGCTAATCGAGTTAAAAAGTAGGCATCATACTTTATTTGTCATACTTTCAGAAGCCACTGTCGATATATATATCATATATGTACTTTGTATACGTATTAATTTTGATGTAAGTGAATGTTACACCGCACTTTCGAGTCAGGAAAGTATAAAGATATATGCGTGATCGTCAAGTTAGTGCATTATAAACTCCGTATTACGTAACACCTCATTCAGTTATAATAATAAATATAAATACGTACACCTTTTCTTGATTATGGTGACATATCTTTTTAAACTACACAGCAAGCGCATTAACATCCTATTAATTTACAACCTCAACAACTAATACTATGCAAAATAACAACACAGAATTAGATGCGATTTTTGCTAGGCGATTGCAGTTAGAATATGATCAAGGTAATTTAACTGAATATTATTGCGGTTTGCAAAATTGTGAAATTTGAAGATCATTAAAAAAAGAGTAATCACTGATTTCTGATTACTGATTTCTGATTTCTTCAACATTTTTTTGACTTTTAGATTAGACAAAATTTGAGCAGTTATTATTTTGTAAAAATTTGATTATTTTTATGGAAATAAAAGTTGCATATTCATCATTTTTGTAATATATTTGCAGAAATAGGAGTTGCGAATTAAAATATTCAATCAAATTTTTACAAATAATAAAAGCGCAAATTTTGTCAAGTCTAATCAATAATCGGAAATCAGTGATGACTTTTTTTTTTAATGATCTTCATAATTTTGCAAACCGCAATAATTGAATCTTTAGTTAGACTTGAACTTCACTCTAAATTATGATTATTATATTCAGAGTCAGAAGCATTTCTTACAAATGCAAGATATTTCGAATATGAAGACAATGAAAACGATGAATCATTTGAAGGTATTTAAGCTGTTTTTATTAACTTGGTCACTTTAAAACTAAATATAATAATTTATTTTTTATTTTAAAAAGAAATGCTAAATGAAAGCTCTTCATATGGTATCATATATCATCTTTATTATCTTTATACATTTATTCGTGCATATATTATTACAATGAAATAATTTTTAAAACTTTTCAGTGACGACTCCAATAACTAATAATAATAGACGAGATGAGCAACAAACCAGAGAAAATATAGAAAATGATTATGCCATTGCTATGCAGTTGCAAGAAGCACTGAATGAAGAAACATTAAATGAAAATACAGATGGTAAGTTATGAATTGTTACAAATTATATATATATATATATATATGTTTAGATATATTTATTATGTTTGTAAATTTATATTAATTACCTTTAGAGAATTCTCCTCGTATGAATGAATATGGGCATTTTAGAGGAAATTTTGAACAATATGTAAATGAAGCTACAGGTAAGAGAATTAATAGGTTTTAGAATTTGAATTGTAACAATGTATTTCAATTAAATATGGCGCATTTTTTTTTACAAATCATCATTAAATTTAATTGCTCTCAATAACATTTTAAATTATTGAATATGAAAAACTATTTCATTTCTTTTATTTTAATATTTTGTAATCAATTTGATTTTGAATTTAGTTTATTACAGAAATACGCTATTTTCCTAATAATAAAATCTTATAATGTTTTGTATCAAAATGTTTTATAAAATATAGAATCAAATCGATCATATTACAGCGAAGATCTGAATGATGAAAGTGATGATGATTTAAATAGAGGTATTTGTTCATATTTAGCTATTTTAATTAATGATGGCTCTATTCTGTAATTATATTATGAAAAAGTAGAAAACGATTAAAAAAATGAATACTATCTTTTTTTTTGTCATAATAATTGTAATAACTAATGAATAATTTATTTCTAGTGAAACTAAAGGTCTCATCAATTGAGATTACTTCAACTGGTATATTATTATATATTTTTATACATTTTGCATATTTTGCATATTGCACTATTCATAAATCAATATTTTGATCTCCTTTATATTTTTTGATAAAATTTTAAATTAGACCTTAGGACGGTTATTAATCAATTTAAAAATAGGTTAATTCAAAAAAATCCACATACAAGTAGAAAAGTTATTAGATTATCTTCAAGAAATCAATTACTTATGTTTTCAGAATTCATCGAAGCTATTAAACTATTTAAAGAAGCAGATTTTATACAACGACCAAGAATTGAATTTAGAAATGAGTATGAATTTTTTTAAAAAAAAATTCAAATTTATTTCAACTCCTTTTATATGTGAATTTTTATTTTAATTTTATTAATATTTATATTTTATTTATGAAAAGGCCTGTTATTGATGGTGGTGGTGCATTTAATGATACTATTCGTCAGATTCTAGATACATTTATGTCATTAGAAAATCCTGAATATGGTGGTAATGGCCGTTTGTTCACTGGCGATAGTTCTAAATTAATCAGTTCAACTGCTCCAATAAGCGTTCTGGATGAACTTAATGTAAGTTCAATTTTATTCACCTGTAAAAATAATAATAAAACATTAATAATTTGCATATTAATTAAATATTTTAGATATTTGGAGATATTCTATTTTTGGCTATAATTCATGAAGCTCCATTTCCTGTAGATTTAGATATTATTCTGTTTAAATACTGTCTAGATCTTGAAAGTACTATTACTCTAAAGGATGTTGAAAGATTCAATCCCGTAATGTATAACCTTGCCAGAAATGTTTTAAATGCTGATCCAGATGTTGATTTGTCTACTATTGATGGTTTTGATCAATGGGCTGAAGATAAAGAAATATCTGTATGAATCAAGTTTAATTATCATGTAAAATTTTTTAAAATTTCGAAATTGATAGAATTGATATTATAAATTTTAAAATATAGAAAATACAGAAACAGGTGTATTCTCGGTCAAGAGAAAATTTAAAAAAATTAGCCAGAGAAATCTGTCATGATGTACTAATTCACTGTCGAATTAAACAACTTAATGCCATCAAACTTAAACTAAATAAGTTTGGTTTTTTAAATGTATTTTATTAAAAATTATTTTATGTTCTTATTACAAATATTCTAAATATTTTAATACAATCAATTTTTATATTTACATTTTTAATAGGTTATTAAAGAAAAACAAATCGGAATTGACCAAATAAAAGATTATTTTTATCAGGAATCTATAACATATGAGGATATTATCCAAAAGTTAGTTTTTGCCCCACCTCATTTAAATAGACGTCAAAACATGGTCAGGAATTGGTTTAATGAATGGTTACGAACACAACGAAAGGAAGAATTACAAGAATTTTGCAGATTAGCTACTGGTTTCAGTCATCCAAGAGAAGAAATTACAGTAAATTTTTACATTTTATATTTTTATAAACATTAAATAAATATATTAATTTTAATTTTTTTTTAATTCTTATAATTTAGGTGGCCTTTAAAACTTATATTGCTCGAGAGAATAGAGAAGCTGCACTTACACCTAGATTTCAAACGTGTTTTTCTGAAATTAAGATCTCTGAACATTTTAATTCAAAACATGAATTTTTTGCAATTATGAATGCACAAGTTAACAAAAACCTTCATGATAGTAGATTTACTGTAGCCTAACAAGTTTAACAAGTATAACAAGCATAACAAGCCTAACTTGCCTAACAAATCTAACTAGTCTAACTAGCCTAACAAAGTAGACTAAACTTTTATAATAAATATATTATTTATTGTATGAATAACAATTTTATGATTATTTTTATTTTTTTAAAAAAATGCTCTATATAATAAGTAGTAGTAGTAATTAAAAATAATGAACATTTTAAAAGGAAAATTTTCAAATTTGTCATTTTACACCTTTAGAAGTAGTAACAGCAAATGATATAAAATACAGTTTATTTATATTAGTTTTATATTGCTCTAAAATGTTTTTTTGCTGTTTGATTATTATATATTACAATTATTGTATAATGAGTGTGTCTTGTGAATGAGTGTTGTTATTACTAGGTTCAGTCTGGGTCCAGTTTGGATCTGGTTTGTTCTGGGATCAAACTGAATTCAAACTCTAAATTTTACTTTCAATCCAAATTTAAACTTTATTATAAGTTCAGTCTGGGTTTAGTTTGGATTCAGTCCAAAGTTTAAAAAATAGTTAAGTCTAGCTGTAGTTATATGTATTTTTTAGTGTTAAACAATTTTACTTAGTGCATTAAGTAAGAATTAATTAATAAAATTGAGAAATTTAAAATTTTATAGAATTTTATTAATAAAATTTTACAAAATCTTAAATTTCTTAAAATATTGTTAATTAATTCTAACTTTATGTACTAATAAAATTTGTTTAGAGGTTTAAGTCACAGAAAATTTTATTTGCATCTCTATTCTTAATATCCTTTGAATATGAAATTTATATGTAATTACTTTCTTATAAATTTTTTTATAAAGAAATTCAATTGAGTTTTAATAGAGTTAGAGGCATAGTCTTACTTTAAGATTCAAAAAAAAATTGTTTAGCACAAAAAATATATTAAACTGTTATAGTTGTTTTTATTTTACTTAAAAGTTTGAAAAAAGATTCTTAATTTTAATATTTTAATCAAAAAAATCAAAATTAATCATCTTTTTTCAAACTTTCAAGTAAGGCTATATAAAAAAAATTCTTGGTTTTCATAACCCAGCCAGGTCAAATTTTTTTTTTTAATCTTCAAAGGTGAGGCCATGCCTCTATCTTTATTAAAATCTAATTAAATTTCTTTACAAATAATTAAATAAAGAAATTACATTATTTGAACTTTATATC